AGGCAAAGATGATTCGACAGTGGAGGAGGTGGAAGGAACAATGGAATTAGACAAGAGCCGTATGCTCGAGCTGATAGATGAAGAAATGGAGAAACAAGATGACTTTGACTTTGCACAGCTTACTCCAGAGAAGTCTAGGAATCTTGAGATTATGACAAAGCAGATGAGATTGCTGGCTTCTAATCAATAGCAAGCATTAACCAGAAACTGGATATGAGTTTTTGAAATATCAACCTCAAACTTTTTGTGTGTATGAAGCATGAAGAAAGATGTTTTTGTTCAACTCTTATGATTCTCCAATTTATCTGGAACAGCTTTAAAAGATAGCACTATTCACATCTTGAAAACTCTTTTACTTGAATAATTGTCTATATAGTGAGAATTTGGTTGATCAATCTGGCCAATTCGTTCAAGTTATGAGTTCCGTGTAAAACAGGTCCATGATGATAGTAGTGACAACAAGAGCGATGATTTGACTTGTTATGCATCTTCATGGCCTAGCACTCAGCTTCCAAGGAACATCAAGAATCATGCAGCTGTAAAGAATAAAAATGCCAAACAAGTCAATCATCAGACAGAGAACAGAGGTTGTGAAACATTCAGCGACAAAGGAGACGAATCTGTTCTCAAGGCTAGAACAAGAATCACTGCAGCTACTCATGGTCAGAGTAGAGCAACGTTCGATCACCAAACTTGGGAGTGAAGTCTCGATCACCAAAACTTGGGAGTCAAGTCTCTTTAGGTTCTTTGAACTTTAATATCGCATAAATCCTGAAAACATAAATTATTTTTCTTTTCACGAGCTGGAGTCTCTGTTTAGACTCGATCTTCTCTTTGTTTCTTCTTACTTTGATTCACTTTGAATCGTTTCTCTTTAGGGTTTTACTGTTTGTTTCTTCTCCGAAACCATGGCGGCCAGTGGCGGAGCCATGTACAAGGTAGGGGGTCACTTGACCCCGGTAAAATTTTGTTTTTTGCTAACTTGTTTAGTAATTTATCAAGTTTATAGGGTGTAAATCTCATGTTTGACCCCTACTAACTTATTTTATTTTACCGTTTGACCCCATTCACATGAATTTAAAGCGATGGAATGCCCCATATTGTATGAATATTTATTTTCATTTGTTATCATTATCTTCTTATGTGTTGGTTTATAGCCCAGTTTATTTTTTTGTTCTTCATATATTCAGTGTTTTTGTATAATTTTAAAAGATTTTTTTATTAATTTTATTAAAAATGACCCCGGTCAAAAAAATTTCTAGATCCACCCATGATGGCGGCAGATGATGCAACAAATACCGAACGAATCGCCAC